GTAACGGCCACCTTCCAATCTTAGAGAAGCGGCAATGTCTCCCCTCCAGGTTTCCCATGACGTCACGTTGACCACTTTGTTACCACCCCTGGTGCCGTGGACACAGACATTGCCCAAACGCTAATGGAGAGGGAAGAGGCGCGGGGAGCTGAGGACGTTCGGGGTGGTGTTCTGGTCGGGGGGACACTGGGAAAGAGCAGGTCTGGCTCAGTGCTTATTTTAGGGAAAACTCTTCTGATGAATGGGCCATCCGGGATAAACAGATGGGGCTGAGAGTGCAATTTACATAACAATTAAGCTAGTTTAGTACATCCTGCAATGCTGCTGAAACCAGGCCTCTCCCTGGGCGGGCTTTCCGTGTTATTAATCTACTTTATGACCCAGTTTCCCCAAATGGATAATTTTGCCTTGCGAGTGTTAAGATACATTTAGCGACTCAGGTATCTGCAGCCAGAGGGTGGGTGTGGGAGTTGGTGAATTGTCTCTTCCGCCTTCTTCTCCGGGTGTGCGTGGAGAAGGCTGCCTCACCGGGTCTTTGCAGTTGGCGTGTTCCCCGGTGCCATTCGTATCTGATTCATGCGTGTGTGACCATAGCATGCCAGCAGTACTCCATTTTCACTTTTTTTTTTTTGAGACAGACTCGCTCTGTGGTCCAGGCTGGAGTGCAGTGGCCCGATTGTGGCTCTCTGCAACCTCCGCCTCCTGGGTTCAAGCAATTCTCCTGCCTCAGCCTCCCAAGTAGCTGGGATGACAGGGGCCCGCCACCGTGTCCGGCTAATTTTTGTATTTTTAGTAGAGATGGGGTTTCACCATGTTGGCCAGGCTGGTCTCAAACTCCTGACCCCAAGTGATACACCCTCCTCGGCCTCCCGAAGTGCTGGGATTACAGGCATGAGCCACCGCGCTCAGCCTGTTTCCACCTCTTTTCTGAAATCTGAGTAAATGTGGAGGAAGAGAGTGTCCTGGCACTGGGGTACCCCCTGGGAGAGGTGGGGAATGAACTGGAAGGATGACAGCCAGTTCCTTTTCCCAGCCTGGAACCTGCCCCGCCCTCCAGGAGTGCTTGGAATGTGCTCTTTGAAGGGCCAACCGAATAAAGGCTTTTTCAGATGCTGATTGGTGCTGATGCTGTGTGGCTTTGTTTGGGTTCAGTTTTTATCCTGGCTGGCAGAGAGGTCTCTAAAAATGAGTCCGCATTGCTTTGTAAACATGACCTGGTTGCCACAATGACCCCAGCCGCCCTTCGGAAAACTGGAAGCACCTGTGGATCCGGGATCCGGGATCCGGCCTCCTTCATCCAGGGCTGCTGGTCTGGGGGAAGCTCACCCAAAGGTAAATCAGAGTGGATCTTGGGAAAGGACCGCTTCCTTGGGAAAGGCTGATTAGGTTAAACTCTAACTTGACATTCAGTTATCCAACGTCTCTCTCCAGGGTTAGGATGCGATTTTATGTATGGCAGAACAAGAACTAAAGATGACCGAGTTTAATAAATTGATGTCATAAAAGTGTAGCAATTTGCCCCCCATGGTATAAACTTGTGTGTGGCCTGGTAAGCAGAGTTCTGCCTGGTGTTTTTGTGGCTGCATCGGTCGGGAGGCTGTTCCCTTCCCGGGGCTCCCCGCCTGGGGTGACCTTCATCCCTGCCAGCTTCTCGGAGTCTGGGTGGGTATCAGTGGCTGTCAAATGCTGCTTTTAGAAAAGAGGCTGTAAGGCCGGGCTTGGTGGCGGCTCACGCCCGTAATCCCAGCACTTTGGGAGGCTGAGGCGGGCGGATCACCTGAGGTCAGGAGTTCAAGACCATCCTGGCCAACATAGCGAAACCCCTTCTCTACTAAAAATACAGAAATTAGCTGGGCGTGGTGGCATGTGCCTGTAGTCCCAGCTACTCAGGAGGCTGAGGCAGAAGAATTGCCTGAACCCGAGAGGTAGATGTTGCAGTGAGCCAAGATCACCCCACTGTACTCCAGCCTGGGCAACGAGCGAGACTCTGTCTCCAAAAAAAAAGAAAAGAAAAAAGAAAAAGGAAAACAAGAAAAAAGAAAAAAGAAAACAAGAAAAAAGAAAAGAGGCTGGTGGGAAAATGTAGCCTTGCGTGGCTGCTGCTGTGCACACTGGGGGCCTGAGGTCCCGGGATCCCCTCGTGCCTTATTGATGCTATTTGTTGCCTGGCATCCCCGTCCTGTCACCCCGAGAATCCCCGCTGCACGTTTTGGATCTGACCAGGATCCCTCCTTGTTCGGCCAGGTCAGCGTGAGGCTGCGCACTGTGCCTCCTTCCCCCTGTCATCCGTGAGCCTGGCTTCCGCTTCCATTCTCAGGGTCTGGACAGGGCCAGGCTCTTCCCAAGCACACAATCCACGTTGGCTGCTCATTTGGACTCGATGTCTCCGAGCAGGTCGAGGCTGGCCCACCGCTGCTGGCCCGTGACCACTGCTGGCAGATCGAGGCTGGCCCATGACCTGGGCAGGCGGACCTTATCTGGGAGCCCTGTGCACAGCTGGTTTTGCAGCAGGCCTGTGTGGTCTGCTAGAAAAGGGGAGGTGGCAGAAGATTTTAACTTTGGTAAAATCGTGAACTGATTTTGCCACAATAAAGTGTAATCCACGATACAAAATGTCAAATTGCATTTTACACCACTGGTTTGGACATTGGGGCAGTGAAGTTCCCTGTTGTAATGATAATTCTTGGCGTTGAGTGACCTCATGATGTGCCGCGCACCTTCTCGCTGTTCAGCCAGCAATTAACTGTCTGTAAAATAGGTCCAAAAGCCGTCCCCACCTCTGAGGAGGGAGAGAGGATCGAATGAGTTCACTTAGAACAACACGTGACACATTTGAACACGGAAGAACACGGAAGCCTGTGTGTTAGGCGTTAACATTGTTGATGTGTGAAGGGATAGAAAACCAGGCAAAATCCATGATTGTTCGACATTAAATTGTGTGGTGGCCACTTAGTTCAGCACCACTTCTTCTTATGGCTTTGACCGTATTGTCCAAAAATTTCACAATACTCAGTTTCTTGGTTTCCTCATCTGAATGAGAAGGTTGGCACTTAAATAGAATCTGTGACTTACTGTGTTTTTTTGACTTTGGACGAGTAGCTCATCTGTCTAAGCCTCAGTTTCCCCAGTCATAAACAACATACCTGCCTGCTTCCTTTCTAAGATAACAGAGGTCTCAGAAAGTACAGGACAGGCCAGTGCCCTGGCTCACGCCTGTAATCCCAGCACCTTGGGAGGCTGAGGCAGGATTGCTTGAGCCCAGGAGTTTGCAGGCAGATCACCCGAGGTCAGGAGTCTGAGACCATCCTGGCCAACATGGTGAAACCTTGTCTCTACTAAAAATACAAAAATTAGCTGGGCACGGTGACGGGCGCCTGTAATCCCAGCTACTCGGGAGGCCAAGGCAGGAGAATCGCTTGAACCCGAGAGGTGGAGGTTGCAGTGAGCCACAGTCGTGCCACTGCACTCCGGCCTGGGTGACAGAGTGAGACTCCATCTCAAAAATAAATAAATAAATAAATAATAAAAAATAGTTGTATATTTTGGAGAAATGGGTGCAGCCAGGTGTATAGCCTTCTGTCCCTTGTGGGACCCCAGGGTACGTTCTTGCTTTGGAAGGGAGGGTCACATTCAGGGCAAAGGTGCAGTGGTGGCTCTGCATCCCCAGCGGTGCCTGTTCTGGCATGTTCTCTGCAGCCCCAGCGGTGCCTGTGTGGCACGGGCCACAGTGCTGTTAATAGAAGCTGAGCTCAGTTTTGGAGCCACCGGCTCCCACCACTGGGAATTACAGCCGTTCCATGTCGTGGATTTTCCCCATTTGTCTGTTTTCAGCTTGTTGTGACTCTTGTCCCTTCTCCTCGTCTGTGTAGTTCCTTCTGGGTAGAGATGTGCCTGTCAGCATTACCTGTCGACACCATCCTAGCCACTGGGTTCTGGGAAGCCCCATCACGGTGCCTGAGCTTCACAGAGTTGCAGAGCAGCCTGGCTTTAGAGAACACTTAGAGAACACGGAGATTGATGGAGACGGCTGTCCATCAGCTGGGCAGGGCCAAGCTGGGCCTGGATCCTGCTTAGTCTCCCCGACTTCTTCTATTCAAGCAGGATGTTCATTCCTGATGCCTTGCCCGGGCAGCGTGTGCTCAGCTCAGTTCAGGAAGCGTTGTGTTGGTGTGCCCTCCTGGGTCCCAACACCTGGCGGTGTTTGCACAGGGCGGGAAGGCTGAGGGTCCTGGGAAGCGTCCGTGGGATGTATCAGTCAGGGAGGCCGGGCGCAGTAGTAAATACGCCCAGTGTGGAAGGGCTTCCTGTAAGAGGGTGTGGCAGTTCGGGGGTGGGTCCCAGCCAGCCGCCAACTCTCCTTGGAGTGATACCTGGATGTTGAGGAGGGAGAGATCTGGAGTTAAGGAAGATGTGACCTTCTCAGTGGCCCTCAGACGTCTTGGCAAGTGAAGAGCGTGAAGAGGTGTGACCCGTCCCATGGCCATTGGAGAACTGGCAGAAGCTCCTAGAGCAGTCGCCTGGGGAGATCAGAGCGGGTCTCAGGAGTGTAAGTGCTCGGCACCATGCGGATGGGCGTCATACTCTCTCGTATCTGCATCACCCATAAGGGGTGGGCAGTGGTGCTGCCGTGTCTTGTCAGGAGGCCAGCTCTGCGTCACCCACCAGGCTGGGCTCAGCCACAGTTTGGCAATGTAGCGCCTCCAGGGCAGACGTCACGGACCGTGGAGAAGCAACGCAAGGTCAGAGAGAAAAGATCACAGCCGGCCGGTGTCGGGGGAGTCCTGTGAGCTGGGCCTGGAGCTGAGGCTGAACTTGGTGGACTATGTATGACTCAAGGTTGGGATGGGGCAGGGACTCTGGAGGGAGGGGCAGAGGGCAGGTGCTGCCCAGCAGGAGGGAGGGAGGACGCGGCAGGTTGTAGAGCCCACCAAGTCCAAAGCTGGAAGGTCAGATTCTTTGATATTCAGAGGTGGATCATCTGTGCTTTTTTTTTTTTTTAACAGTCTGTCGTTTTTTATCCACCATCTAATCGTGACAGCTTATTTACCTTTATTCCATGCGATGGGGAGGAGGATCGAGATGAAATCCAAGCAGCATTTCCCTTCCCCGATGGTCGCCTCCCTGGGGTGAGACGTTTGATGTGTCAGACTTCACCCAGAGCATCTCCCGCCTCGGTGCAGTAATGGACTTGGAAACGATTTACTCCGGCACTTGATTCCTGTCTCCATAAATACGGCTGCTTTAAAGGGAGTGTAAAAAGGGCTGTAAATTGGTATTGATTGCTGGTGGTCTTGAAGAATACGAACTGAGGATTGACCATTCCTTGGAGTGAAGGCTCCGCATTCAGACGCCGTTCGACTTACATCATCATCATTGAGAAGGGAAAGGAGACGTGTTAGTTTCGGTTTGATTATTTACCATCAAGGCATAAACACTTACAGAGGCAGCTGAACCCATTTGTCCTGCCCCGTGCACTTACTTGAGAAGGCACATGGAGAGTTGTTAGAATCAAACTGCCGCTCTCTCAATTCTGGGTGTATTATTGCAGTCTCGAAAAGCCTGGTCCTGTTTGTGTTTAAGTGTACCAGCGATCGGGCTTCTCATTTTACACCTCAAGGGTTTCCGATCCTCTTACCTCGCTCATCTATTGCTCTTACAGATAGGAGATACTTGGTTCTGTTTATGCTGCAGAGTGCGTTCAAATCCGTTTATGATTAAACACTGCTCAAACAGCCGGGGCAGGGTTTATTGACACACAGCGGTGTGACGGGGACGGAGTGGTAGGGGATGAATCATTGCTCTCTCTTCTGTTTATTTCCAGTTGACAAGAGGTGACATTTATTTTTAAATTGTGCTCAGAGCTCTGTGACTTCTGCAGAACTCCAAACGAGATTTCATTTTTAAAATACAGTAAGAGGGGGGATAATGACCAATACCAGCAAAGGGGGCATGCCTACTTCCTGGCCCCCTTAGGCCGATAACTCCACATCTGGAGCTCATAGTCAGGTAACTTTAGTTCAGGTCATTTAATCCAAGTACACTTGTGGCTTGAAAAAAGAATTCTTTTCCTGCCCTATTAATTTGCCAGTTACTTACATTTTGAAATAGTCAGCAAAGTTCATAGCTCTGGTCACAGCCCATTGTGTAATTGTAAAGTAGTCGAAAAATTATTTCTTTTCTATACTGATCGTAACAGTGCTCTGTGCCAGGCCCCAAGCTAGGCTCTGGGCTTGGGGCAGGCTGAGATTCCCGCTGCACTGGGCTTGGTGTCTCGGAAAAAACGAAGGTAGAGAGAATTAGACCACGATGCAGCCGCGGAGGTCAGCTACCTAAATAAGAGAATTTGCATAACCACTGTGTTTTCTTTTTGTTTTGTGCTGTTGTTTTTTTTTTTTTTTTTTTGAAGCGGAATCTTACTCTGTCACCAGGCTGGAGTGCGGTGGCGTGATCTCGGCTCACTGCAACCTCTGCCTCCCGGGTTCAAGTGATTCTCCTGCGTCAGCCTCCCGAGTTGCTGGGATTACAAACACATGCCACCACGCCCAGCTAATTTTTGTAATTTTAGTAGGGACAGGGTTTCACTGTGTTGGTCAGGCTGGTCTCCGACTCCTGACCTCATGATCCACCTGCCTTAGCCTCCCAAAGTGCTGGGATTATGGGCGTGAACCACCGCACCAAGCCTCGTGTTTTCTTTTGATTTCTTTTTTCTTTTTTTAGAGACAGAGTTTTGCTCTTGTTGCCCAGGCTGGAGCGCAGTGGCGCCATCTTGGCTCACTGCAACCTCCGCCTCCCGGGTTCAAGCGATTTCTCCTGCCTCAGCCTCCTGAGTAGCTGGGATTACAAGCATGCGCCACCATGTCTGGCTAATTTTTTGTATTTAGTAGAGACGAAGTTTCACTGTGTTGGTTAGGCTGGTCTTGAACTCCTGACCTCAGGTGATCCACCTGCCTCAGCTTCCCGAAGTGCTGGGATTACAGGCGTGAGCCACTGTGCTCAGCCTCTTGATTTCTTACCCATCTGTAAGATGGTTTTTTAAGTCATCTGTTCTTGAGCCCTGGAAACTGGCCTGTAACTCCCAAATCTTGTCACCTTTTACAAGACAGAACAAGGAGAGAACGGAGATCATCTTTTCCTGTTGACCCTATTTTCACTGTGTGTGTGTGTCTGTTTGTTGAGACAGTCTCACTCTGTTGCCCAGGCTGGAGTGCAGTGGCGCGATCTCGGCTCACTGCAGCCTCCACTTCGGGGTTCAAAGGGTTCTCTTGCCTCGGCCTCCCGAGTAGCTGGGATTACAGGCACGTGCCACCGTGCCCGGCTTAGAGACAGAGTTTCGCCTCATTGCCCAAGCTGGTCTCCTGAGCTCAAGCTATCCACCCACCTCCGCCTCCCAAGGTGCTGGTATTATGGGCATGAGCCACCAGCCTGGCCCCTATTTTCACTTTGAAAGGAAAAGTTTAGGTTTAAAGACATTACTTTTCATGTGTGAAAGTAGGAGTGCCTGCTTTCTTTGTTTTTTCAAGGCACATCTTATGGATTTTGGCTTACATATTTTCTAAGTAGGTGATAACATTCCTGCAGTTCAAAACTCAAAAGATATGCAGTTTAAAAATGTGAGGTTTTTTTTTTTTTTCTCTCTGTCTCTCATCTCAGTTTTCCACCTTAGAGAATCAGTTTCCAATGTCTTGTACAGGAAGGGCATAAAACCCAGACGTCTGTCCACCCGAGTCCGATTTCTCCAGAGAGCCGCGATGAGCATCATGCTTTTATGTGCTTTGGGGAAGTCTGCGTGCACGTGGAGTTGTGCGTATTCAGAGGGCGTCTTGTTGTAACGTGGTTCTGCATCTTTTCCTTGATACAGAACAGAAGCCACACCAGCAACAATCAGAGGCTAATAGGCTTGGGGCATAGCTTTTCTGATCAGATGAGTTTCACGGCTTTAGTACAGAAAATATTCAAAGCAAATGCAGCTGTAATTGTGATATATGCACAGTGGAACTGTGATGATCCGGGGCACGGTGGAACTGTGATACGGTGCATGGTGTTTGGTTTCAAGGAGAGATTGTAAGTCATGGCTTCCGTCTGCTGGCAAAGTGTGTCTCAGAGTGCAGCCGATAGGATCAAGCCCACGTGTTCAGAGGGGCTCAGCTGTGGGCGACCTGTGTACAGGAGTGGGATTGCACGGTGGTCCAGCTCGTCTGTGCACCCCTCCCTGCCCTGCCTCCCTTTTTCTGGGGGGTTGGCTGGAACTCGGGCCCCGCTGGCCGGCGGCAGGAGCTGGAATGCCCGAGCTCTGAGAAGCTCTTCATCTATCAGCAGTCAGCTTTCAACTTAAGCAGAGCCAAGTTTAGAATGAATGAATAGGATATTTGGAAATGCTCTGGTGTTGTGAAATACGGAACTTTGCGAGTTCTTGTGGCCGTCCGCTTTGTTCCCTGCTGTGACTGACTGGCAGGAACTGGGGCTTGCCAAGTCAGTCTGTAGTGCACGCTGTTAGATTGCTTGGCGTTGGCCAAGCCAGCACCAGGTACCCTGACGCTCTCTCACGGTGAATCCACCCAAGAGCGCTCCCGTCCACAGCCGGCTCTTTGAATATTTGAGGAAATGTAGGAAAAGCAAAACTCACAAGACAATCCTTCCAGCCACTGGTCACAGGATGGGAGTTGCTGAACTTCAGTGTTGGCCACCAGTATCTGCTGTCTGTGCTTAAAGGATCGAAAATGCAGACCTCGGCCGGACACAGTGGCTCACGCCTATAATCCTAGCACTTTGGGAGGCTGAGGTGGGCGGATCACCTGAGGTCAGGAGTTCAAGACCAGCTTGACCAACATGATGAAACCCTGTCTCTACAAATTAGCCAGGCATGGCGGTGGGTGCTTGTAATTCCAGCTACTTGGGAGGTTGAGGCAGGAGAATTGCTTGAACCCAGAAGGCAGAGGCTGTAGTAAGCCGAGATTACACCACTGCACTCCATCCTGGGCAACAGAAGAACCTATCTACAAAAAAAAAAAAAAAGAAAAGAAAGAAAAGGAAAGAAAGAAAGAAATACAGACTTCAAGGTGGGAGGATCACTTGAAGTCAGGAGTTCAAGACCAGCCTGGGTAACATAGCAAGACCCTATTTCCACAAAAAAAAATTTTTTTTTGGTCAGCTGGATGTAGTGGCACACACCCGTAGCCCCAACTACTTGGGAGGCTAAGGCAGGAGGATCACTTGAGCCTGGGAGTTCAGGGCTGCAGTAAGCTATGATGGCATCACTGCACTCCAGCCTGGGTGACAGAGCAAGGCCCTGTGTCCATAAAAAAAAGAGAAAAGAGATACAGACTAGCAGAATGGGCCACCTCCAAAAAGCTGGTACAGTGGGAGGGGCCCCAGACATGTCATTGTGGCCCACCGTGGCCACAGGCAGGGCCAGAGCCTGAGGCTGGGTCCTTCTCAAGACCCAGTGCTGGTCTCGGAAGCGGGTGAGTACAGAGGCCAGTGAGGGCACGGCAGGCGCGGGGTGGATGTGCTCCTTGGAAGCTGCGTGAGAGGGGCTATGGGCGTCTCCATTTTACTGGTTTGGAGCTGGCTTACATAGGCGTCACAAAACAGATGTCTACAAGTTTTCATTTTATGAACTATTTTAAGCTGATTGCTTGATTTTTCTTTATCTTAGTAGAGATTAAAATTGGTTGGTTTGTGTCTGGCTTATATGTGCAGCACATCCCCAGGTGAAGGGCAGGTTGTACGTGGTGGGAAGTGTGTGGCTGGGAGGTGGTGGCTGGGAGGTGCGTGGCTGAGAGGCACGTGGCTGGAAGGTGGTGGCGGGAGGCGCGTGGCTGGAAAGTGCATGGCTGGGAGGCGTGTGGCTGGGATGTGTGTGGCTGGAAGGTGGTGGTGGGAAGTGCATGGTTGGGAGGTGCGTAGCTGGGAGGCGTGTGGCTAGACGATGGTTGCGGGAGGCATATGGCTGGAAGGTGGTAGTGGGAGGCATGTGGCTGGGAGGCAGTGGTGGGAGGTGCATGGCTGGGAAGCAAGTGTCTGTGGGGTGTGCAGCTGTAAGGCAAGTGTCTGTGAAGTGCATGACAGGAGGTACTCCACCCTAGCCCCAGAGGCAGGGCGCTTCCCTGCACCTGACCCCGCTGCTCTCCTGGTCCTGCCGGCCTCCTTGTCTCTCAGAGCATTGCAGCTTCATCTGCACGAGGAGGTGCTTGAACTCTGCCTCTAAATGCTGTTTATTCTGAAGCTTTGCTGCACCGTGTATGTTTATTTACAAACACGCAAGTCCGTGCTCCAGTTGAAGACCGACCACCACCGTGTGTTGCCCGCATCTTTGGGCTCTGGTCTCAGGTTGGGTGATGGTTTTCTGTTGTAAAAGTGGGAGGATATTAAGCATCTTTGCCTCGTCACCCTTTCTCCCTGATAAATGTCCACTGATCCTGGTTTATGTTTTTCACTCCTCCTGTGTGCTGTTTCAGTGTTGAAGGAAAGGAGAGTGGGGGTCGCTGCCCCTGGCGGCCCTGTCGCCCGTGTTCCCACCAGCTCCACGGGCACACTTTCCATTTGGAAACAATTACAGATTCACAAGGAGCAGCAGGTGTGTTGCAGAGAGGTCCCTGCACAGCCCACCAGCCTCCTCCCGGAAGTTGGC